GACGCCACTATCCACTAGCCAGCCACTGGCTCTCTTGCTCTTTCTTTTCTCTTTCTCTCACTTTCACTTTACTTTCACTTTTACTTTCGTTTGCTGGCCAGTTTCGAGCAGGAGCTTTTTGCTGTTGCTGCTGCGCTTGCTGTCTCTTGCGCGGTTTTATCCACAGTTGACCTCTTTTAGCGGGCAGCAACAGCAACAGCAATGGCGAGCGAGTGAGAGAGCCGTCGAAAGAGAAAGTGACACAGTAACCTCAAACTTCGAAATTGTTTTCTGCCGCCATCATCAATGGGCGCCTGCAAGCTGAACTTTTGTTTTCTGCGGCTACTTTTGGCTGCCACACGTTCATTACAAAGACTGGTGAGAATAGACACGAGCTTGATTATGGCCACGATGCACGCCGTTTTTGCCAGGGAGAGAGAGAGAGAGAGCATGTGTGTGCTCTCAGTGTATGGTACAGCAGCAGTGCCAGCCGTACCTTGGCCCCTCTTTTTGGCCATGACCACGCTCAAACTACACAGTAGTAGCGGTGGTGATGGTGGTGGATCACCAGGACAGAGTAACCTCGGTGCTGGCTGCACTCGCCAGATCTGAATCTACATCTACTGTACGGTTGAAGTGTGTGTTTGTGGTCGATGACACGAGGCACTACCTTGCACTTTGTGCTTTGTTTTGTCACACAGTGGTGACAGTTGATAGTGGTGACAATATCTGTAAATGTGAATTAACAGATTTGCAGACACACGATGTTAAAAATTGTAAAAACAAGATTTTATTTTTGTTGTGCTATATCCTTTTCCCTAAAAATAGCTTCCTATTAGTTTCATTTTCTATTATTGTTTTTGCATTTCTAATAAACGGACACAATTAACTTCAATTAAATGTCAATTGAATTCAATCGATATAAGTTGGTTGAACCTCAAAGTACTACAAAGTTAGCAGTGGCGGTTCAGTGAGCTTTTATTTTAACGATATTTTAACTTGACGATGCTCAGACCTTGAATGCGCACTAATGGTGCACCTCGCGTCGAGTTGCATAATCAAGTAGGCCCTAATAATCATCAGAGACACTAGCTAATGACTGAGTAGAAAAGTGTTCACTCTCTGTTTGTGTGCATGTGCTACAGCTTAATTATTAATTGTAACATCGATTGTTAGCGCCAGCCTAATGAATGTCACTGCTGATAGATGCTAACCTGAGTCTGTCGATGCTGATAATGAAGATTAATGGCGGTAACTGAGAAGCTGAGCAGCAGTAGAGTGGCTTTTCAGTGGCAGAAAAATCAGTTAAGCTGCCAAACATTGGTAATATGCAAAGTGATCTATGAAAGAATAACAATACTATGTTGTTGTTGTTGCCACTGTGACTACGTCTCAGCAACAACGAGAATGATAGCACTACCTGTCATCAGCACCAAACTGCCGCGCATATTATGATTGGCGGCTCCCATTGAGTAAAGGGGGCCAGTAGAGGCAACCAGCAAGCAGCCACTCTTGACAGTAGCAAGTGCAACCACCACCGGCATCCACTCTCCCCATCACCAACTACTGACCGACAGAGAAAGTGTCGATGTAACCACTGTCACGTGAGATAGCTGCTGCTGATGCACAGGAGAGGCACAAGTGACCTACACCTTGCAGTGACGTGCCCACCACTCACTAAATATTGCTCTCTATTACTGAAAGCCCGCGCTGCTCCTGTGACTGCTACTGGCGGTGGTGATGAGTGGATTATCCATACACAAACACACACACCACAACAAGACAACCACCATCAGACCAATTGAAGAGGAGCATGATTATGGTGATGATGGCAGTGCAGGTGCTCTCGCCTCAGAGAAAACTGAGAAAGCTTTCCTGCGCAGCAATGGCCCAAATGTATAAAGGAAGAAAGTGCAAAACAGTAAAAGACCCTTTTCGGTACGTTTTATGGACGCATACTGGCTACTACTAGGTGAGGTGAGTTGTCGGCCACTTGTGACGCGGCTCAATCCAACACACACACACACACACTCGAGCTGTGGTTACGATCAGTGGTGCCCATTACACTGCTTATGGTGTATGGTCGAGCTGCAACCTCCTAATGCCAGCCTGATTACTATCAGACCAGGGAGAGGGGAGGGAGCGTATCAGAAGCAGCTTGACGATAGCAAGGAAACCTTATCGGTTGTGCGCCCGTTTGGCCGCCTTTTGTGGCGTTAGTGGACGGGCAGGCAAAGTGCAAGCGACGACACACACACCGACACTGAGCCAGCTATCCTGCCTGCCATCCATCCACCATCAGCTTGTGTGTGTCCATCAGCTTTGGCCCATTGCGATTTCCATTGCCATCGAGCAGGTAATCATCATACGTCTGCCCATCTGCCGTACATCTTCTAATCAATCAGAAGCAGCAGCAGCAGAGACAGCAGAAAATCTGCTGCACGCTTAACTGGTGATCATCGAACAGTAATGCTGATTGACTTTAATTAAATTTTAAATGAAACTGACATTTTAAATGTGGCGCAAATACGACCACAGTGGTGCAGTGCACGAACTGGTGCTGGTAGTGAACAAGTTAGAGGCAGTGCCAGTTTGGGAGAGGAAACGGCTGTCACAGTGTGACTGCAAGTGGCCCAAACAGGCAGACAGTTTGTCGAGTGGCAAAAAGACAATTGCCAATTGCCTGTCAGAGGACTGTGCTGGTGGTGGCTGGTTGGGTCGGTGCTTAATGATATTGTACGACAGCAGAACCAGCGAGGGAGAATGTAAATCGAAGATTCAACTAAACAAGTGGTCTAATTGTCCTACAGTCTGATTCCTTGAATTCTGTTTCCTTTTTTTCTCTCCTCAATAGAGAGTGTCTACATGACAGAAGACACACAGACAGACAGACACTTCAATTGACTGCACACTTCGATCGAAAGCAAAAGTCTTTGATCGAAATTGATCGAGTCCTCGCACTCGAGTGCACCTCTGCTACTTGGATCAAGGAAAGACGGCGCCAAGAAGCAACAGCGGCTTTTGGTAAAAAGTTTGCACGTCTTTTAGTCAAGATTTGAATGCAACAACAGCAAAAGCAACATCATCATCAGCAGACTGGAGTGGAAAAGTAGAGAATGGTCGGGGCTATCGTGATGTGGCGTGGAGATGTGTGTCAAGGCGAGTGTTATATGATCAATTACACTGCTGCGACTTCACTCACACTCACTCGCTCACTCACTTTGTCGCTCTCCCCTTAACTCAGGCAATGGACTGCCCCTTACTTTCCCTTGCCACTTGCACTCTGACTGACTGAGCCTGTGCCTCTCTCGGTGTCCAGGAGAAAGAAGAGAGTTGAAGAGAAAGAAAGAAAGAAAGAAAGAGAGTACATCGGCAGTGCATCAGCAGCAGAGGTGAGCAGCTATCATCAGCATGAGTGAGTGGCAGTTGGTCGATGACGGACAGCGAAAGTGATGATCACTTGACTTCACGGTCTATTGCTTGTAGCTTTCTCTCCTCATTTCCCAAGTAGATCACCAGCGGTACATTCAGTAGAGTCATCAGGTGTCATCACCATTTAATAAGAATATTCATACATTTGACATCAGCATCATTGCATCAGGGACATGAAGGCGTGAGCGCAGAAAAGAAGTGAACAAAAAGAAAAGTGAGAAGGAGAAAGAGAAGGGGAGAAAGAAAGAAAGAATAAAGCTGGTCAGGTGGATCATGATCATGTCCATTGTTGGTGGTAATAATAACTGTAATAATTATAATAATAATAAACATCTATTGCTCTAATGCTCAATGAGGATGATAAATACATAGTTTGCCATCGGGTGAAGGGAGAGAACAGATTTTATTCGCCCTTTCGAGCCTTTTTGACTTAACTCGTACGAATACAGCAAGCCACCAGCCCTTCGATCTGGCGACAACAGCAACGACAACAACAAACGAGTACTTGTAGTCAAGCCTTGCCGACGAGCCACCGTCTTCTCTGCCTTCATACGTTTTCTTCAGTCTGCTGCTGCTTCTTCGCCGCCAGAGTCTGCGTAGGCGCCCTTAGTGCTGCACTCGATGAGATAAGGTTTCTGCGCGACGCTCGGGCGCGCGCCGGCGCAGAAGAAGCGAGCCGTCAGCAAAACACAAGCGGTGGACAGACATCCACGCCGAGAAACAGGAAAACGGCCGAACCAGAGGGTCAGCAGTTGAGCCTTGGTCTTCGGAAGATGTCGACGTCCCGATGAAGCCTTCAAGGCCATAAGGCCAGTAGTTCCGAATGGGGAGTCCGCGTAGCAGGGCATCGCAGGGGTAACTTCCACTCTTGACCACGTGGCCGGCCTCTTCAGCTCCCGTCCTTCTGATGACTTCCTGGGCGTGGTCCCTCCTAGAGCCCGGTAGGCGTCGTCCAGTGTTGCCAGCACTTGAGTTGACCAAAGGCTCGAAGATGGTGGATGAGGGGGATGTCAAAGATGTCCTCGCCGACTTGAGTTTTCCAAAGCTGGCAGCCACGCTGCACCGCGCGTTCTACCGCAGCGGCCGTCGCGTTAGCAACTGGTGAAGGTGCGCGAGAGTTAGAGCGGACAAACGGCCAGATGACATGACATGAGATAACAAGCAAATCAAATTGTACAGAAGAGATGGCTGACTGATGAGATGCACAAGGTGTGTGTGGGGTGGGTGGGCGCGGGAGAAGGCGTGAGGGTGTGAGTGTTCTCTGAGCTAATCGATTCGAACATAAATAAGAGGAAATGGTGGTGGTGGTGATTGGGGTGATAGTGGCGATGGAACAAGTGCTCAGTACAGCTGGTTGTGTGTGTGTGTCGACCAGACCACTCAGAGGCGCTCAGACAGAGGCTTTTTCTTCTTTCCTTGTCCTAACTTCATTACCCTCATTCTCTTCCTATTCTTCTTCATCATCCTTTTTCAGAGAGGCGGAAGGTTGAAGTGAGTTAATTAGCAGAATCAGCAACACAGCAACGCCAGCAGGTGGTGAGAGGGAAAGAGAAGGGCACCGCACTGCACCGCACCGCACAGATGCCGGCCTAAAATCCGTGACTCTCCATCTGCAGGCCCTTGGCAATCTCCGAGTCAACACTTTCCGGTGGAACGCCAACCGTGGTGAGGAGAGACTTGAGGACGTTCAACTCCTTACAGAGTGAGTCCACCTTCTTGCGCAGCTGATCATTTTCACGCGCCAGCTCGGAGACCTTCTTCTCCGTCTCGCGGCTGCGAACCTTCGCCTTCTCTCTGCTCTTGCGGACGGCGATGTTGTTGCGCTCCCGTCGCTTTTTGTACTCGTCGGAGCCCTTGTCGACGCTCTTCTTTGAGTGGTGCTTGCCATGACGACTGCTGGAGTTCTGCGAGTTGCGCGAACTGGCGGAAGTGGTCGAGCCGAGACCAAAGTGCATCTGTCGGAGCATTGCACCGCCACCATCAGAGTCCACCTGCTGCTGCTGCGACCGACTGCTGTTGCCACCGGGAAGACGGGCGTCGTTGCCGCCGCCTCCGCCGTAGTTGGCCTGGAAAGCGCCCGAAGAGTAGTGGGCGTTCTGACTACAACTGTTTGAGAAGTCGACCTCGGCTTCGAGTGGCTCCTGCTTGACTGGGGTGTTTGCCTCGAGGCCGTATCGGTCGGTGCCCAGTGAAGGCTGTTGAGGCATTTGCGAGTGATGCTGTTGCTGCTGCTGGTACTGCTGCTGCTGTTGAGAGTAGGGCGCAGAGGGGGCGGAATGGAGGTGCTGGCCGAGCCCACTGCTGACTGATGATGCACTGTGGTGCTGCTGCTGGCCACTGGAGCGACCGTTGCCGTTCAGTGTTTGCCCTTGCTGCTGCTGGGGTCCCTTCTCCGAGGAGCGTGAGGAGGGAAGCAGGCCGGAGAAGAGGCTGGCGACGGAGCTGGAGTCGACGTCGAGAGAGCCTGATTGCGAGTTGGGATTGAGTGAAGCACCGAGTGATGCGCCGTTCAGATCGTTGCCCCTGATGAACTGCTGAATGGACATATGATCGAAGGTGAGCTCCGGTGAGTTGAGATCGGTCGGAATCACCTCCGACCCGTGCGCCGAGTGCTGCAGCGCTGGCGAGGCGCACTTGGCCAGTCGGCCTGATGACGCCTGCTTGCTGCTCGAGTGGTGGTTCGGATGAGGCTGCTGGTGCTGCTGCTGCAGCTGCTGTTGTTGCTGCTGCTGCTGTTGATGGTGGTGGTGGTGGTGGTGTTGCTGTTCAAAGGAACTGTGGTTCAGTGGTGATGTCTGCTCATAGAAGTGCGAATCCATTCCAACCATCGAGGCCGGACTGCATATTAGTGGCCACTCGGTGTCAAGCTCATATGAACGTTGCTGCTTGTAGGACGCCGTTGTGACCAAAATGGCTGACGGCCGCACGCTGTAGCACAGCAGCAGCCTAAGAGCGCTGGGGCAGAAGGGGGTGCCTCGAGGAGGTGCACACAAATGACGATCCGCTCAAACGGACGAAAGAGGAGAAAGCGAAAGAAGACGGTGAAAGGCGATGGGGAAGTTCAAATTAGTGCTGTGTTCGATTGATGAGCTAGGCGCAATTTGAATTTTGGCGCCTTTGAAGAATATTGGGCAAGTAAATTAGAGAAGTAGTAGGCGTTGGGTGTGGTTGTGTTCAAGTCAGAGGGCAAGTCAAGGGTCCCTGGGGGAGGTGATGTGCACAGTGAACAAGTGGTAGAAAGAGAACAGTGGTGGTGGTGGTGGTGGTGGTGGTGGTGTATTACTCGTGGTGTCTGCAACAGCTCGAGCGCCTGTCGCGGTCTTTCAACTAGCAAAAGCGTCTAAGTCGAGGAGCGCCGGGGCAAACGGTGTGAGCGGGAGCGAGAGAATGTGAGTGTCTGGTAGAGCGACAACGGAGCACACAACTGCTCGCCACAAGAACAAACGAACGAATGGTGTGTGGACGTTGTGAGCGCGCCGAGAGGAGAGAATCGATTGCTGGCGATGACTCAAGCTCCGACACATAAAAGCATAGTCTTGATGCGTACTGACGGACTTGGCTGACTTTGTGCATAGAGTGTGCTGCCGCTAATGCTGTTCACTGCCTTCTGCCTTCTGCTTGCTGCACCGCTTGCAACTGGCGTATGCAATGCGGGGCAACAGGAGAGGATTGTCAGTGGTGGTGGCGGTGATGATGGCGGTGCTGGCAGCAGCCAACCTGGAGCTGGCGGTAAAGTACACAGTGACAGTGGTTGTCTCTCTCCTTCCCCGTAGAAGTGAGCTCTGAATGGCCAGTAGTCTCTGCAGAGAGTCTTCCAGTTAGCAGCAGCTGGGCGTATTACTGCTGCTGCTGTGGGCGCCAGGAGTGTGTGCATGAGGAGGGGAAGCGAAGCGCATGACAGTGTGGCACCCTTCTCACTTCTCCGCTTTTCTCTCTCAGCTTTGGAGGGGACAGTTCAGCTGGAGAGCATGGCGCCCGGTCGACGGAGTGGAGTCGTACGAGTAGTCTTGGCCAAACAAGTGCTAACGAGTTCGATGTAGTGTAGACGAGTGTCCTTCGCCTCCAACGCCAGCCAGTGAGCCTGTGTGCCTCAGCCAACGGCGGCAGGAGCAATCGGCGGCAATGCATGCTGTCGCTGCCGTTGATGGAGACGACAGTGTGAGCCTGCCAGCCATCGTCACCACCATCACCACCACCGCTGATCATTGTAGTGTTAGTGTACGAGCCGAGCTGAGTCCTATCTGGCAGTGCCTCTTTTTTCTGTCACATGTTGCTGTGTATCGATCACACATAGATAGAGACACTCATAAGAGCACACCGCCGCGCGAGCGATCTCCACTGCCTCTGCTGCTAATCGCCAACTAAACGATCCTTGACCCTTCTAATTGGCCGTCTGTCGTCCTCGGTGGCCACTGCACACGGGCGAACAAAGAGACAGAGACACGCACGGGCACACTGTCGTACTCACTGCCAGCCTCCCCTCCCCTCCCCCATCTCTCCTCACTGACCACGAGTGCTCGTGCTGCAGTCGTCGAGATTGTGAGAGAGTGAGAGATTGTGAGAACAGTGAGCGAGCACCAATCGTAATCCAAGAAAAGACTAGAAAGCATGCAAAGCAGATTTTCCTTCTTGGCTGGAAAATCCGCCGTCTGCGCCAAGTCTGTTTCATGTTGGTTCCACAAAGACTGAGAGTTTGTCGGAAGCGACAGAGCAGCAGACAGCAGACGACAGTGGGCGAACAGTGGCGGGGAATGAGCAGAGTCAGCGAGTGAGAGAGAGAGAGAGAGAGGGAGAAGGGGTACTCACTCTCAACTCTAAGGATTATATTAATTTAGCAGAGTAACCAGACGTGAGGCGTCTGCAGAAGCCACGACTGAGCCAGATTGCCGCCAGTCTGCGACGGTTTGAGTGCGTCTGAAAGGCGTCCGAAGGCGACTGAGGGCTCACAGGCAGAAAGTGAGAGGTAGTCATCCGGTTTCAGTTTTGAAGTACTACAACTGTCTGCTGCCGCTGCTGGTGCTGCTGCTGCTGCTGCTGCTGGTTGCTCTCTGGTACACTCTGAGCTTTTAGAAGTCGTCGTCGTCGATGGTGGTGTCGGTGATGATGAGTGTTTGTGCCGAAGCAGTGTCGAATGAAAAGTTGAAATGAGTGCCCCCGTCTCTGGCTGAAGCGGCACTGACTACGACTACACTGGAATCTGCTCGCTAGACCTCGCTGAGCCATTCTTTTCAGTCTGTTGTACGACAGAGTACATGCTTTCCACTGGTACACTTTTTCCATTACGGTTCCCTTAGCGTTTCTATATGTGCACAGCAGCAGCAGTGGCACTTTGTCATCTGCTCCGCTGCTACAGCCGGTGTGTGCCAGTGTCGTCTTTCTCGGGCAGTTCAATAGAAAGTGAAAGCGGGCACTTTGTCTCGTCTCCCGATTGATTTGCCACCAGCACTTCTTGGCCGCGACCTTGAGACGATTCTGGTCACAAGTGAGCACAAGTGTCACTGCCTCACGAGGCCCTTTTCTCCTCTCTCCTCTCTCACCGGATTGAACCGGCAGTCTCCACTCTTGCTTTCTCACTTTCCTTTTCAGGGTACACCAAATCAGACGTGCGCCAAAGTTTGCCTGTTCAACCGGCACTGCTATCCATACAGAACTGAGTTGAGTTGAGCTGAGCACTGTCTACATCCGTCGGTAACCTGCATTCGACGGGTTCCTTCTCGGTCAACTATGAGCAGGGAAAGGCCGTCTGCTTTTTGTGTCGCTGTTTGGTTGCACTAGACTCGATGATGGGTCAGAACTGACTGACTGAAACGTGCGACATGGTGTCTGGCGTCTGGCGAAGTGATCATAAAATAACAAAGAAAAAGAGAAAGAAAGAGTGGCTCACTGGTGTCAGCAGTGACAGCAACCACGGTAGAGAAGTAAGGAGAGGGCGCAAAAAGTATCTCTCTGTCACGATCAGCAGTGGTGTAGCTCCGCTTTGCTTTGCTTTGCTTTGCATCGCCAGCAATGCGGACTGCCACAGCGCTTGCTCATCATCACCGCCACCACCTCTGCTGAGATTACGACCGTTTAAAGGACCATTTATTATGATTAGCAGGAAAGGCAAGCAGGCAGGCAGGGAGGCAGTATTCAATCGCCCAGTGGTATCCACTGCTGCACTTTGTGTGCACAGTGATACTTTGTTACAAAAGTATGCATCGGACGGACAATTAAAATTAAAGTGCAGAGAGCACTCTTCAGAGAGGGCCTGGGAGAGACCAGTGTGCACAAAAGGGTTAAGCGAAGATGAAGAGTGAAAGAGGGGGAGAAAGAGGACTTTCAGTGAGTGGGCAATGATTAGCCTATGGGGCGATGATGATGATTTGATGCAGATGATTATTTGCCTGCTGCTGCAGCGTTTGGTGTTGACGTCGATGGTGCGACCTGTCTGTTTGGGTGAAATGCAATGCAATGGCCAATGAGACAGTCGGGGAAAGACGATCCTACTAGTGCTGCTGCAGTACACTTTTCAGCGAGCATTGCATCCCATTGCAGCTGCAGTGGAAGCAGTCCTTCGGAGCAGAACTGCGCAGCACTGTCTGTCTCTTCAGGGCCTGCCATTAAACACTCTAAACTCCATCTCAATCTCCTTCTTTCTGTCTCCAGCCCATTTGGACGACCTTGCCTCCGCCGGTGGTGACAGAGCACCAGAGCGGTCTACGCCAGACAGTGGTGCCGGTCAACTCGTTACTTTCCACTCTTTTTACTCATCTCTAACACTTTTAACTCTGGCCGTCCCCACGCTTTCTACAATTGTCGCTTATCGCTCGACTTTTTTTTATTCACATCCGCGCGGAATTTGATGCGCTGTCAGTGAGCAGTGAACTGGCGGGGCAAATGCTCTCTTTCTAGCATTAGCAGGCTTTTTGCAAAATTCCACCAATAGTAAAAAGCTTGCACGATGTTGCAACACTGTACCACATGACAGCAAGCAGAATTGAGATAGTGATAAAGACTTGCTGTGCGTTCTAATTGGCAAAGTCGACTGGTAAACAGTCTAAATGACTGGAAGAAAACTTGATCAATGCACCCAGACAACAACCTAGCAGATTGACAGTTAAAGCTCACTCTAATCTATAATTAATGCACTGTTTATAAATTTCTCTTTTATCGAAACACTTTGTTGTTAAAAAACAACAAAAATTTTAAAGTAAGCAAAGTATATGCAGTTTAGTGCCTGGTGACTTTGAAGTGCTACAGTAAAACTGAAATTGAATACCGACAAATTGCGTAGACTAAATAGGCAGTAGAGAATATGAATGAATAAAGTGGTGCTCTGAGAAAAAACGCAGCACTTTAGACTTGGGCTATACTTGGGGGTCCTTCTTCAAAAGGTCTCTTCAGTACTCTCTTGGTCAAGCCATTCCCGGTGGGCTGATGCTGGTGATTTATAGCACGTCTGCGGGAAGTCGAGACACCAACAACAGCAGAAACAGCAGCAGCACTCCCGTCACCCTCCTAAATGCAGTGTGACTGAAGCACTAGTCTGTGAATAAGTGGCATTGCCAGTGAATTTGCCTATTAGTTCATTACCATTATCATTGTCAGGGAAATTAACGCGTAAAAAAGAAGAAGAAAAAGGTACAGATTCTGAGAAGAAATGAAGAGTGCATTAGAGCACGACCTGAGCAACTGCTGAGTGCTACAGTGTCAGTGCGAGTGATGCACCAGTAGAAAATAGCAGGGTCAAATCATGTCCAGAGAAAGTTGGAGGAAGTTGCTAAAAGTAAATATAAAAGCGACAAGTAAAAAGCCACTGGCTAGACAAATTGACTGAGGCTGTTTACTGGCAATTGAATAGTGGAAATGCCTACTCTTTTGAACTTGCAATGATGAATGGTTACAAATTTGCACCAAAGCAAACACATTGTGATTTCCCTTTTTCTTAAAAGTTGATGATGATCATGTAACTACAGAAGGACAGTGCCTTGCTGCCAAAAACAGGCAGCAGTTATTATTAGCCAGTTTATGAGATTCTTGACTTGAAGTGTCACAAATTAGCTGAAGCAATTAAAAGAAGCCTGCTGTTGTGGCTGAACAGCAACGTCAAAGTAAGCGAAGGGGGTGACAGTGAACACTGCCGCTCACAGCAGTCAGTGGTAAGGATGGTCTATGACCTTTAGAAAGTGATGACGGGTCTTTAAAATTTTATACACTGCAAAAGGACAAAATAGTGACGAGTAGTGAAAGAACCTGCAGCCTATTTACAAATTGGAAAATGTCATTTTCTGCTCTGTCTGTGTGTGCGTGATTCGATCGCATGTAATGGGTCGCAGCTGGCTCGAATCATTAGCTGGCTGTGCTCACTGAACACTCTCTTCACTAGGTAAAACGGTGCTCTACTGCTCTGCTTTTTAGAGATTCAGCACTCCACTGCATCTGGGCCATTAATCTACCAAATTAGCTGTAAATTTATCTCAAAGCTTCACTGAAAAATCAGTACCTTTCTAATTGCTAAAGATGAAAGTCAGCATAGATAGACTAAGAAATAGGCAAACTTAAAAAGACTGTTTTTCACTAGAACTAAAAAACGACCAAAAGTTTTTATTCCGTTTTTTATGGGTAAGTATGTTATAAAAGATGTTTTTCGGAAAACTTGTGAATGGAAAACTCCAAGTTGGTGTCACTCAAGTTTTAGCCTGAGTACCTCAAATGACCGTACAAAAAATTAGTAATCCAAAAAACCACCAACTTGGAATCTTCAAATTAAAAAAAGTTGTATAAAATTCTGAGCGTTCACACAATACCCCTTATCTCTAAAAGGTAATTTAGATTTCCCAATGTTCGTTTTGATGGGCGACCTTAGCTAGCAATTGTACTGTAACTAAATTAAAGCGCTTGCAATGTGTTTTGGTATAAACAACATTATGATTGCGGCAGTAATAAACTCAGTAACAAAAGTAATTAATTGTTAAAATGTAATCAGTTTATTAGTTATCTTCATCATCCACAATCAATATATTCTCATTAACTCATTGCATGTTCAAGTTAATCTCATTGACAGTAGCAGCTTGTAGTTGCAATAAGAGAGTTACCGTACTTGAGTAATTGCTGATACATCTATTGCATACTGTATTACAGCAACAACTAAAAGGAATAGAGCATTTTTAAATGGTATTAAACATTTACTAATAAGCTAACACTTGAAAAAATGAAAGCTTACTCAAATTGAGATTTTAGGTGCTTTGTGAAACTGATCTTTAATGAAAACTCCAAAAATATCACTAGCGTAAAAGATCCAATTAAAATATTGTCTAAGCATGCGCGACGATGATATAGACTCTAAATGAAAATTCAAAAGTAAGACTATAAATAAAAATAAAGGTTTTATCAAAGTTAAAAAACTTTTGTCNGTGCTTTGTGAAACTGATCTTTAATGAAAACTCCAAAAATATCACTAGCGCAAGAGATCCAATTAAAATATTGTCTAAGCATGCGCGACGATGATATAGACTCTAAATGAAAATTCGAAAGTAAAACTATAAATAAAAATAAAGGTTTTATCAAAGTTACAAAACTTTTGTCAAAAAAACTAAAAAAGTTTTACTTGCATTTCAATTTTGTCTTACCATAAATGCCGCTGTATCATTATTGAAAATTGAACTTGTATTGCTTGCAGCGTCATCTAGAATTACCGGGTGTGAATAATGCTTATACAAAACAGCCAGTTTTTTAAACAATTTTTGCTGATTCAAGTCAAAAGGGTCAAAGAGTCAAAAGTGAACTGGAAATACAGTTAAAAGAGATGGACAAGCTGATTAAAAAAATTAAATAAAAAAATTGGCAAAAAACATGTATATAGAGTTAGCTGACCTGACCAGCAGACTGTCAAACTGTTTTCCAAGATAGACTTTGAATGCACTGACAATTTGATGTGTTTTGCGTTTGACAGCGTTTTTCAACAGCAGATAAAATGATTACTTGCAGAAAAAGGGGTTTTACTCAAAGAACATTCCGGATTCATCAATTTCATGCACAAAAAGTTTCAATCTGGTTGATTTATGTTTGAGTTTTGAAGCACCTGTTAGTTACTGCATCTACGTGCGGCCATAGCCCGGCAAGCTGCAAAGCAAACTTATTTTTCAGCCTCGCAAGTGATTTTGATGTTTATTCTTTGAATAATCGGCATTGATCATGGCCCAAGTTAATCTGATCGAACCTATACGACAGGAGAACCTCACCTCTTTTGTGCGATCTTCAGTCGTCCCCGAGTCCCTGGTCAAGCACAACACAGTCTACTTTTCAAGCAACGATAATTATCTTTCAGGTAAGCGACCGTGTGATAATGGCGCGTAAATAACTTTTCATTTCTATTTCTCCTCTTTAGACAAGTTCATCTGGAACATCAATGGCGCCAACTTGGAGGTCTACAGTTACAACAGTAAATGTGTCAATCGACTGCATGGATTATTTGAATTTGGAAAAATTTTTCAAGACGATACAATTGCCATCACGAGCGTCACCAGGTTGACTGATCCCTTTGAAGTGTCAGCCAAATTCCGCCACCCGCACAAGCTGATTGTCATTCTGAGCTTGACAAGCACCAAAAGCCTAATATGCATTGTCGACATTCGACTAAATAGAGTGCTCAACACCATCGACTTTCCCTTTAATGCTACCTGTGCACAGGTTGTTCTAAGCGGGACTCCTGAAGGCGTTGAGAAGTGGCCACTTGCTCGTGAGCTATCGTGCATGAATGGCATTTTAGCAGTTGGTTGTGATGGTGGAATAGTCTTCTTCATCGACCTGGTTCTGGACTCCTATTCGCCCGTTCCGTTGATTCCAAAGCAAATATATTTCATCGCCCACAGTCCTCAAACTGATTTGGCCAGTAAACGCCGGACTGCCATTTTTCATAATCAGGTCATTTGCATTCCGCTAAACACTGATGCGAAAAGTAAAGGCAAATTCAGTTATCGCTCTGCAAAAGGAGATCTGATAACGGCGTACTCATCTCAGCAAGTTTACGTGAGTGCCATTCACTACATACCACAACTGGCGCTGATTGCTGTTGGCTACAACTTTGGCGGTTTTCATCTCTACAACATCAACACACTACAACTGGATTTTACTAATGAAATCGACAGCTCATTTTTGCCAGTAGTGTCCTTTGCATTTCAAGTTCCTGAAAATGACCCCAAAAATTTTTCCTATTTATGGGCAGTTCGAGGAATTTGTGCCAAAACACCAAACCTTGAGGAGACGGTGCTCAACTCCTGCAGCAATGCCTCTTTATACTTAATTTGTTACGAAAGCAAGTGTTGTCACCGAAACTATGGTTATCTGTACAGCAACTTTAAAATGTGCGTTCTCAAGTACAACATGACGCTTCCATTTAACCCTCATGATCAAAATTCGCATCATCATTCAAGTAGCAAGCTGATAGACATGTTTACAATTCATCAAGTATCGTCAATTGGGCTATTGGAAGATGACCCCAGCACAGCAAGTACAATCGACTACAATTTAGTTTTTCTTTCCTGGACTGCGCGAAACCTCAGTGAAACAAAGCACATCTCTCGAAACTCTTACTTTTTAATTTTTGACTTGAATCAGTGGTACAATTCGCAAATGCCCCCTCAATTTTGCATCGATGGAAACGGCCACTGTCCTTTCATATCGATATACTCGCTCAACTCACTGGAGAAGATGGTCACTCCCGATTCAGTTCAATCTATCTACGTGCACAACAATTCAATTAGCAAATACAACTCAAATCTCTTCTACCACGACATTCATTCATACCCGGCATCACTTTCCTTCAATATTACAGTAACATCACAAACGAAAATCTGCAACGCTTCTTATATGGGCTTACAGAAGCAGGAGCTGCATCGATTCCTGCAGACAGGCCCCTATCTTTTGGAGCAGCCGCAAGGTGCAATCAGCAAGTGTTTCCAGCTTGGCCTAGTTGCGCCCGAATACGAACTGAGTGAATCGATAAGTGACCGCGTCGCAAGGGAAGTGCTGATGAACATTGCTCTCGACAACAGCTTGACGCCATTCCTCATCAACACCATCAAGGAGTGGGCGACGGGACTGAACGCCGATATTGGCTGCGATTTAAAGCACATTCTCGATTGGATCTGGAAAAAGGTGACCAGCATTAAGGAGTCTATCGACAGCTTGACCACTTCGCTGTTTGACTTTTCCGGCACTGATTTGATGCCCCATGACATGTCCAAGTTGTTTTCCCACCAAGTCAATCTTTCAGCTCTTTCGGTGCTTTTGAAGCAGCTTCGGGTGCACGCAACTGTCCTCACGCAGCAAGGTCATGACCAGCTAGTGACGCGATGCGAAATTGTCGAATTGATTAGCCACTACCTCAAGATTATACTGTACTTTAAGGGAATTAAGCTGCTACCCGAGCAAGATAAACCCAATCAGTTGGACGACTCAATTTCCTTTTACTCCTATGAAAAGTGTGCCCAATACTACACTAAGCGACGCAAGCAAGTGAATTCAATCAATCCAGCAGCACTAAAAAATGACGACGTCTTGCTGATTGACACACTGGTGCGGCACTTGGAGCCACAAATAGGTGTCCTGTGGAAGACACCTGGCTCACGGTCAAAGTTTCTCTATCCGCCTCCGAACATTTACTCTCTGCTGCGCATTTTTCTCGTCGACACAATACCGCTCGTTTACAAAGAGTCCCTCTTGCTGTACTTTCTCATGGATTTTTGCGACAACCTGGAGGAAGAACATGTCAACATGGCACAGCAAATTGTTCTCTTCATGTCATCACTCCAACTGAGCGAGGGAACACGCAACTTTGTCCGGGGCATCTGGTTTCTTGATCACCAAAAACTGTCCAGTGCACTGCAGCTGCTAACTCATCCGATTGTCACCTGTGCACTGGGCGAGTTTAAGGTTGATGTGTCCATGTTCAATGCCATTATTCGTCGGGCAGTTCAATTATTTTTATTTGCCAATGAACACAAAAGTGCGCTAATCTTTACGCAGTGCTGCGGGCACTTTCTCGTGGATACGCAAAAGAATGAAAACCTGTACATTCAGTTGCTACTACTCAATGGAAATCTTGCCGGAGCCATCGACTTTGAACGTCAACGCCGCGGCAATCCCAATGCAGCGTACCTTGTTCACAACCTATTTTTTGTCTGTGAAAAGACCAACAACCTGAACAAGCTGGTTCGCTTTCCACTGGATGACTTTGAGGAGGAATCACTGGTGCAGTACTTGTTTTCCTCCCCTCAGCCTAATGCCAAGCGAATGTTGATCTTGTATTATACCTTCAACAACAAACTTCTGGAAGCCATCAGCGTTGCCCGGGAGTTCAGCCATCAACTTGATATGTCTCTGGAGGAGAACAAGTGCATTCTCGAGTTGACCGAAGCCTACAATTCGCGTGTGCCTCAATCACTGTCTGATTTGGCCAATGAGATGACCCACATCATTTCGAAAAATGTCGAATCAGCTTCTCAAGAGTTTCCCGGAGCTCAAAGGATCATCAGCGACGAAACTACCATTAAGATTAATGCTAAGCAAAAGGGAATGAAAAAGATTTCCACAACGACGTCAATTGAAAAGGTTCTTGAGCTGCAAGAAGCTGGGCTTAGGCGAAATGCTGCCAGGTATATCTTACTTAACTATTGGCGTTGATTCATTTTCATATTCACCATTGTACCTTTTTATCTTTCAGCAACCACCTGACACCTAACCGACCGCGGCCAATGTACCTGTCGCCAAATGTCTCGCGAATGCAGTCTAAGGTGATAAAGGCAAAGCACCAAAACAGCGGCGCCCGTGATCTGTTTAGTGTCTTGAGAACGCCTGATGTGATTCGTAAGATGGACGTCAGGGCTCAGAACAGCTCACTCGGTGATTCACAGCGAAAGCCGTCAATTCTGAAGCACGCCGACACCTCTTCAGTGTCACATGACGAAGGCGGTGAATCAGATCGAGTGTCCGAAAGGAGCACACACAGCAAGCTGAGAGTCTCCTTTGACATTGAAGGTCGCAGTGAAGGTAGGCCGAAAACCGCACGAGGAAGAGTCGCCAAAGGAGCTGCTGGAGGAGTGGCTTTCGGTGACGTTGCCGAGTCTCAGACGGGGGACGATGATTCATCAATTGCCGACAACTCAGAGTGCGATCCGGAAGAGCTCAATAACCAGGACACTGACTCGGACTCTTCTCGAAGACGGTAATGACCTCTTTATAATGACTGATTCAGTCAGACTGATCAATTGGACAGTTTCTAATTCCCCGCCCTCTTTTCTAGGTCAACGCGAGCCACAAGGTCCGAAACGCCGACACACCGAATGAAGCTGCGAAATAAAAAGCCTGCTTGAACAGAACATTCTGTCACTAGTCCAGCATTGCGCAGTGTACACCACCAGCCTATTTACCATCAAAGCATGAAAAGTGAATGTTTATTGTCAATGTTTCATTTACACAGTGTGATTATATTTGCATTAATCTATAAAAATAAATACAACAAAATACTAAATTCTACTGACTGATCACGGGAGAGATTTGATTTTGCTCAACTCCGTTCAATTCCGTTGATTCTATCGTTTCAGTCTGTGAGCAAGCTGTATCCGGCGCCGGCTGCAGCTGCTGTTCACCTAGTTCAGCTCTGTACTTGACCAGGCTTTCCTCGAGTTCAGTGTTTTTCTCCTTTTGCTCCTTTAGCTGCTGTTGTAAGAAGTAGACGGTGTTTTGGAGGCCCTCCATGTCTTCTTCCATTTCCATGAGCACTTCTTCTATTTCTGATTGGCTCTTTTTAAGCTCTTCCGAGTACTTTTTACTCATTGCCAGCCCACCTTCGAGTTTGGCAATCTTGCCAGATGAAATCATTTTGCCCAACTCTTCATTCTCCTGATGAAGTTGGCGACATTTGGACATCAGGCGCTTACCGGTGACACTGCCAAGTGATATGATTATCATTACAAAATGAATCTTATCGAGGGTGCTGTTTAAAAGGTCGTTACATACCTATCAGTTGTAAACTTCCACGCATTAAGTTCACTTTGCATCTCCTCTGCTCGTGATTTTGCCGATTCAACCTCCTTTTTCATTTGCTCAAACATGTAATTTAAAGTTGGATCTAGCAAATATGACTCTAATTGAGTATTTGTAGGCAATCTGAGCTGCTTCAGTGCTTCAATTTGTGCCTATTGTAAAAATTAAATGACAGTTGAATAAGCAATTGTCAACATAGAAATCAGCTGCTACTTACTAGACAGTCTTGAAGCTCTTGTTCTTTGAGTGTCAACCTCATGATGAGAATATTCTCTTTTCGACTCGATTCTAGCTGCTGTTGTTTTAATTTCTTTTCTAAAAAACTTGCTCTTTCTGCTTGTTGACTCAATTTGGTGTTTGATTGTTTTGCATCTTCCAATTGCTTTTGCAGTTGGGTTATGTACAGGTCTTTCTCGACGCATAAACTCTGCAAGTGTTCATTTGTTTGTTGCTCCTTCTTCTCGTTGATGGACATGTCACTGTCATCCATTTTCAACGTCATTTCGACGGCATCGTGATTGTGTACATTGTTGCTGTCAGCTGATGTTGCTCCTTCGTTCATCGCGTCACTCATACTTCTTGGTGCATTTAAATCACCGGAAACATCTCCACTTGCTTCCGCCTGCATTGGCTCTTCCGCGGTGGACTCCATTTTCAGGAGATAATAAATACAATACTGGGATTATCAAAGTTGATGTCAGAGATGGATAAACCGGTTATTAAAAAAGTTTAGAAGAGCGACTATTATCACAGCAGTTGCTCAATGCAGCCAGAGTCTTGCTCAATCTAACTCTTGCTCAATGCAACTCGACGATGCAATGACGAAATCACCTGAGCCAAGTGACCAGGAGACAAACACCTTTTTATTCTCTGACTTTTACAATATAAACTGGCACCTGGTCAATTTGATCGATTTCAGCTTGCATCATCTCGCCGTGTAATTCAGTAAACACCAGCACAGTGCAACCCTGTCACAGTTGATCAGTGCACTCGAGTCTCCTCACTTGAACCCACAGCATCCACCAGCCTACAGTTTTTTCTCTGCAAAGTGCCACCAATTACTGTCCGCTGTATTATTTTTCGACCGGCTATTCGGGAATTGTCGCCGGACTACTATCACTGAAAGATTCATTCGCCTTCGTCACAGCTATATAGTGGGTAGACACTTTCTCTGCCTCTCTCTCCCAGTGCCGCATTTGATGTTGTTTTCCTTTCGGAGTGTAGTGGATCCTTTGGCTGTATCCCGCAACCGATGCCTCTCGCCGCTGCCACTGCTACTACTCGCTCTGCAACACACCGCTCACTACATAGCACTGTCTCGTGAAGCTGTTGTGTAATCATTTTCTAACATTGATTTGTCCAACTTCACCTAAGGTTGTGGATCCAGCTGTTCGCCTCTACACCCGCCGCCTCGAATCCACTTTCTGACGCAACCGTTTACCGAGAGCACCTAGTGTGTCATTAATCGCATCGCTACCAGGGCAACAGTACCTTCATCAGCTCATCTGCATCAGCGCTTTCAGATAATGTGATCATCTGCCGCTGGTGTTGTTTACCACTACAGGTAACACTGTCGCGCTAACCCCCATAGTAGTAAACCAGTGCCAATTGCCAATCTGCGCATTTCTGTCTAGATTTTCACCTGTGTGAACCAAACGAACCGATCAACCAGAGCAGACCACTGCAACCGACGGTGACTTGGGTCTAGTAGGCCAAAAACAGTTTCCAGCATATAGAAAACAGACGTGCAATAGACGCCTTCTCCCAAATGAGTCCGATAACGAAAAAGTTGATGCTTGACAAGGGCGAAGCACTGAACCTGTCATCGGATGTCAGCAAGAGGGATGACTTGTTGGCATCGAGCACCAGTGACAATGCATCCAGCAATTCCTCCTCATCCAACTACGTTCACGGCAAGGGCTCATCCTCCAGCAGACAGTATGGCAGAGTCAACCGCATTGTCCTCGACAAAAACAGCGACGAGTACAAGAAGCGACGTGAACGCAATAATATGGCGGTTAAAAAGTCACGCAACAAGAGCAAGATGCGCACCGCGCAGACCATGCAGCGAGTGAACGAGCTCAAGGACGAAAATGAACGTCTGGAGACTAAAGTGAAAATTCTGTCGAAGGAGCTGAGCTTTCTCAAAGACTTATTTCTCGCCCACGCCGGAGCCACGACACACAGCGGGCCGATGGACGGCAACAACCTCTACAACGGATCTCAGGACGCTGGCAACGCCAACAACAACAACAACAACAACAATGCGCCAATCAACTCCAATATCATCACCTCTACTGGTGGCCTGAACAGTACCGCTGTGGACTGCAATCTCCCGGGGAGCATGCCAGGTGAGATGGATCTGGCCAAGGCCTACAAGTGAGCCAGCACAGCACCTGCTGCTGTCTGAGCGGGGGTTCGTTTCACCTGCACCCTGACATCTCGGGCTCTCCCGTTCACCCCATATTCTTCTTCATATTTTTCTACCCATTGATGACGCAACACGTTCACGCTAAACCAGGCTCTATCCTCTTCTTTGTACCTACTTTTCTTTCTTTTCCTTCTTCTCCCTTGACTTTCTTTTCTCTGTTGTACGGGTGTGTTGCAACACCTTTGCCATCACCACCACCACCACCACCCTCTTTTATTGACCGAACCAATCACACACACACACACACATACTACTCTAATTTGGCTTTGCTAAACAAACTGTTGATCCAATCAAGAGAAGCAAGTCGCAAGTGAAATATCAAGTACCAGGCAATGGCACACACTTTTTTTGTCAAACGCATTTCTTTCGCCCACAACCCCTGCAACTTATTTCTTATTTAGTGAGCAGTTTACACGCCCTCTCCTACTGGTAGACCACTCGTCTGAAATGGAATAATCCATTTTGTTAGTGATACATCCGCGGACTGTTTATTAGTGCTGTTTATTCGACCTTAAATATTCATTCATTTCTCTTTCCGTTGTGTAATTTAATAAAGTGTATCTTTAGAAAGTTTTGGTTCTGATTCTGAGCCTTTCCTCCTTTAGGCAAGGTTGTTGTCGTTCATCTTCGTTGACAAGTTCTTGATCGTATTCTCGTCGGCCTTGAGTACGCCAACGTTTTTCCAGTTATCCATGCAGTTGGCTGTAAACAGAAAAGAGAGAGAGTATGATGAAAGGTTCGAGTGGTGATGATGCAATACAGGTAAACATACCTTTCCACAGTCGCACAGCGCCATCATCGCCCGATGAAGCGAGAATGGTGCCGGTGATGTTCCACGAGACGCGCCACACTTGCGAGCCGTGGTCTTCAAAAGTCGCCAAGACGCGCAACGTGTACACCCTCCTGTTTCGCTGGTTACTGGAAATGACACTGGATGCGACAGACGCCGTGGACTCCTTTTCATTCGGGTTTTCATAGCGAATTAGTATTATTTTTACATCCTTTGCAGTAGCAACACCAACAAGATCGTAAGTGCGGCCCACATTGGGCGCAAACGAAATGTCATGAACTATATCAGTGATTCCCCCCCAATTTCTGTCAGTTATAGTTAGCCATTCCCTCGCTTGGTCGCTGTACTCGTAGAAGAAAATCTTCGCTCCCGCACCATTAGTGGCGTTGGTATCATCACTTCCAACAGCAATCATGGGAGAATTTTGTCGATGCAGTGATGGATTCCATGAAACCGAGCTCAAAGCTTTGCCACAGGGAATTTCATGCTGAATCGACCACTGGGAGATGTTCATCACATCGGGGGCCTCGTAGATGCGAACCATTCCGTCGAGTGAGCATGTGCTAACAATGAGCCCCAAGTGTTTTGGCGCAAACTTAATATCCGTCACGGAAGAACGACTGTCAACAAAACTGTGCCTCTTTATCCACACTGACTGGTTCCTTTCACCACTGCTATTTTCAGAAACTGTGCATTTGCAAGTATAATTTGGTTAACACAAGAAAACACAATAACAAAGGCAGTACTTACTCATCTCTTCCCAGATCATTCCAGTTCTGTCAAAAGAACAGGTGGCGAGAATTTGCCCAAATTCTGGATGCGCCCAGGTGACTTTCCACACGGAGCCAGCGTGTGTTTTCCATGAGGCTGTACAGAGCCACTGGCCTTCATCCCCAATGTCCCAAACCTAGACACAAAAGGAACATCGGTTTTAAAACATAACACAAATCAGTGCTGAAGAAACGCCATTACCTTTACGCTTTGGTCAGAGGAACAAGTGGCTAGACGACGACCATAGTAGTCGTAGGCAAGGTCATGTATCAGGTCTTTGTGATCGGCTTGAATGCTCCGAGAGACCATGATGATGGTGGCAATGACCTGCGGAAGCAGTTGACTGTTGACAAATTAAAATGAAAAGGTCTTCAAGTGGCAATGCCCTCATGCCCGCTTTCCTATAATGCTGCTGCAGGATTCCTGCACAAATCGCCATTTCAACGCCGCTGACTATTTTGACATTAGCAACTGAGCACGTTGTTTTGAAGAAGCAAAACATCTTTTGACAACTTTTGGGAGTTTTACAGCGCGAAAAATGGAAGGAGGTAATGAATACTTGAAAACACTTTTTCACGCCCAAAAACTAATTTTGCTTTTTTCAACTAGCTTTATACGGCAATCTGCCGCAGGAAGTCTGCCAAGTGGCCAACCAAATTGGCATCACTCCTGGCATTGACAAAGCAGAAGATGTCTTCAAGAGCTTCGTACAAGACCGCATTCCTCGCAAAGATTTGGGCGATGATTTCAAGTACAAGGTGTACGCTTTGTACGAGTTGATAGACAAAAATAAACCAGCGTGGAAAGCGGGAAAAGAGCCCTCCAAAAGGTTAAATTCACGGCAGAAGAGAGCTCTTTTTAATATGAAAGACGCAAAATTGAGCTACCAAGATTTTGCTGAAATAAACAAGCTTTGGCACTCCTACTTCCAGTCAATCGTCTCAGAAGTCAAGTGTAAGGCTGATGAGTTAAAGCTATCCAGAGCAGACTTTCACGGCGCTCTACTACAAGTGTATGCCTCTAAAAACACAACAGTTGTTGGAGCGAAAGGCTATGTCGTCCAAGAGTCGAAAAATACATTCCGACTAATCAACGAGCACAATCGGTTGCTATGTAAGTTAAGACACTTTCTTTACTGTACTAGTAAATACATCATATGTACAATTTTTGTTTCTCCCAACAGCCATACCAAAGACAGGCACAGTCTTTGCCTTTGAGCACGGTGGCAAAGTTTATCGTCTCAATGGATACAACATGCTGATGTCGAGCTTTAACCGGTCCAAGATGAAGCCAAAGTTTAACTTTGTGTGCGGGCTTTAACTTTCAGAAATGCGATGAGATGCACTGAATTTCCTGAAGATCATCAACCACCTGTGTGATATAAACATAACATTTAGAAAAAGGATAAAGATTGAAATACAAACTGCTGCATACCTGTTTGATGCTGGTGCCGATCTTCCTGGCCAGCTCAACCTTCTCATTCATCGACAGGTTAAAGTACTTGAAGAGGAGGTCGCCATCGAGAATGTTTTTGCTGGGATTGCAGAGGTCCAACCGTTGCATTCGAATCATGCGATAAGCTTTCGGATTGAGGCCGGCAATGTGCTGCAGATTGGTGGTCAGTAGATTCTGCAGCATCAACAGCCGGCGGTAGGTCTTTTCGGAGATGGGCAACAGGTAGCCGAGGGTGCCGTTCAGCGTGGAGAACATGGTGATGTGCCTCCGCAGGTACGTCTGCTTCAGCCGACTGTCCATGCGCTTGGAGGGCAAACTGCAGCGAATACGAAAGAAGGAGTTGACATTGGCGCCAAAGTGAAAGTCCGCCCGGCGGAGCAGCTTAGTGCCGCCCAGACTCTCCAGCATGTCCGGCTGGTAGGAGTAGATGATGAGGTTCTTGGAGGTGTCCGACACCACAAAGCTCATCTGCGAGTTGTCGATCATGTACTCGCAGGAGAAGACCTGCAGCTGCTTCTGGTCGCGGCTGACCAGCGACAGCGTGCGCGTCTCCTCCTGGTAGCGCAGCAGTGAGATCGATTTGTGCACGTCGGCGATGAGGATGAGGTTGCGCAGAGAGATGGCCGTGTGGACGTAGATCTGCGCGTCGATGAAGGCGATGCCAATGAGGTCTGACTCCTTCAGCTGCCAGATGTAGATCTTCTGGCCGATGGCGGAGAGGAGGTAGCCCTTGACCTGGCAGAGCGTCGTCACCGGGCCCTTCTGGTCCTTGCAGTAGGTGGTCTTGATCTTGTTCTTCGTCAGCGGCTTGCCCGGCTCGGGCACCACCTCGATGATGTCCAGTATCCAGATGCGGCCGCGGTTGGTGACGTCCTCGCCGTAGTTGTAGTTGGTGCCCATGGCCACGTAGCCCTTCAGGCCGGAGCTGGTGCCCTCCGAGGAGAGGAGGACGTTCTTCATGCAGGTGACGTGCTCCCACTCCTCCAGCGGAATGGCCGTCCCCGGGATGAACTCCCAGCTGACCGGGGAGACCAGCTGCAGCTCGAACTGCTCCGTCGTGGCGTGGATGTAGCCGGTGCCCGCCTCCACCGGGTCGTAGTCCTTCTCCTCGCCGCCGACGCGCACTATTCGCTCCACCTTCACCTGTCGGCTCATCACCAGGGCGTACGTCTTGCTCTCCACGTGGTACCCCACGAAGCGAACGGTGCTGCCGATGTGCACGTGCCGGGTGGGCCAGTGGCCGTCCAGGTCGAACTGCGACGGCAGCACTGAAAAGCGCAGCTCCTCCTCCTCGTTGAAGTAGAGAAAGCCATTTGGGCAGCTGATGTTGTTGAACATGGCGAAGCTGGTCACCACGCCGTCCACCTCCATGCTGTGGGCGCGCAGCTCCCCCCGAGGCGTCATCAGGAACCAGCAGGGAAAGTGGCCGCAGAGGAAGACGCCCGCGTAGCCGCCAATGTTGGAGAAGGGCCGTAGCCAGCTGGAGGTGAGCGGGCGAGGTTTGCCGCCAAAGGTGCTCTCGTACTCCTCCTTGCTGAGGCCCAGCTGTGGGTAGTGCAGTAGTGTGTTGTGCGCCAGGTGCCGTCTGAATCGCAGCTTCAGGTGGTTGTCCACCAGCGACTCGAAGAAGGCAAAGGCCTCGTAGATGAACAGCTCCTCCTCAAAGCGGGCAAAAAGAAAGGGTCGCGTCTGATTGAGGCCCATTCCGAGGGCGAGAATTTCCAGCGTGATCGGCATCGAGGAGGCGTCCACCTGGCTATTGTGGAAGGAGTGGTCGGTCGTCTGAATGCTGTCCACTAGAACGCGCAGTCCGAGGGGAAAGTTCTTCACCAGGTAGACCAGCTTGAAGTCAGGCAGTGTGTAAATCTCCAGCACTCCGTTTTGACGCACGAAAAAGAGCCAAAAGGTGGGCTCCTGGGCGGCCATGGTGGTCAGCTTCAGGTCCTTCGCCCCTCCTCCTTCCTCCTCTTCCTCCTCATCTTTGCCCGCACTGTTGTCCTTCTCAGCATTGGCCTCATCCGGTCCGAGGAAGCAGACCGTCGAGTCGCTGTACAGCAGCTCATCCTCCTCATCCGCCGTACTGGCGCAGTTCAGGTTGGACAGCGTCGAGGCGAGTGAGGGCGTCTTCGTGGCCGCCTTGCCACCGCTCTTGGCGGCGCTTTTGCGCGTCTTCACGCCACCACCATTGCTCTCCGCCGCCGTCTTGCTGCTAGTGTTTTCCGTGCTGAACAGCCCACTGACGTCCTTGTAGACGCAGAGGGCGGTGATCTTGGAGCGAGCCGTCGACAGGTCCGGCTTGCTGACCACCAGCCTTGCGGAGCCGTTCTTCGAGTCGATGATGAGACAGAGGAGCAGCACCTGCTGTCCGTTGGCGGTCATGAGGACGGCGTAGGGGTCGGCGAGTGAGGTGTGGACGATGGGCGAGCCCAGGTCGAGGGGAAAGTGCTGCAGCTCGTGGGTGCTGTCGAGGAGGCGGACGCTGTGCGAGCACACCTGCAGAATGTACTTGTTGGCGCCCAGGTTGCCGGTGAAGACGGTGCTGCTCTGGGTGATGAAGCCACTCTGCTCCAGCTCGTTGATCTCCTGGCCCACCTGGAAGACGATGGTCGCCTCCTCCTGGTTGAGGATGAGAAACTCGTGCGGCTGCTGCTGATGCTGCTGCCGCTGCGCCTCCTCGTCGGCGTAGTTCGTCGGCCCGTACACCGTCCAGGCGTCGGAGCAGCCGGGCAGGTGGAAGCTGGTCTCAATCTGCGGCTTGATCGTCCGCTGCAGAATGTTCAGCGCCCCTGCCTGCTCGTAGCCGCCCGCGGTGATCAGCTCCACCTCAAAGTCCTGCACGTTGGCCCAGCTGTCGCAGCTGAAGTTCGGCTCGCCCAGGCAGGAGCTGATGCAGGGGCTGAGGTTGAAGAGCGTGTCACAGAGCACCAGCAGACACTGCTCCTTCTCTGCGCTCTCGTACACTCGCAGCAGGTGGTCAGTGGCGCTGACTACCATTTGTTGTTCTTCTGTTTCCGTTTCCATTGGAACTGCCTCTTCAACAGCTTCCTCATCGTCGTTGGTGGGTTCTTTTGAAGGCTTTTCAGCGTCATCGTCTCCGTTGACCTTCACAGCATCGACTTGCTCTTTCTCTTCTGGCTTTTCCTCAACCGAAGAAGCTTCGGTCGAGTTTTGTTGCTGCTCTTCGCTGGGCTGCTGTTGTTCCTCCTCCTTATTTTCTGGCAACACAACTGTCGGCTTGACCCGCTCAACTTGCTCCAGCTTGATCCTCTTCTGCAAAGCGCAAAACTCTGCACCGTAAAGCCATTCATCCTCCGAAATGGTCTCATCGAAACCCGGTGAGGCGATCAGCTTGGCCAGAGCCTGATTAGAGTTTAAAGTTGACTTTTCATTGGCCGCCTCAGACTTTGATTTGTCCTTTTCATAGAAGTACAGCAGCACCGAGTGGCTGAGGCGAGATCCGAGAAAGAGGAAGCCTTCTTCGCACTTGGTCAGCGTCGTGCAGATCACAGATGAAGCAAGGTGGATAAAGTTGAACGTTCTCAGGCTGCGCGTGGTGTCATTGTGTAGATTGAGCAAATACAAGTCGCCCGTACACAGACTTAGCAATATTTTATTGTTCGATATAAAACAGGCCTGGCACCCGGCGAGACTGATCGTCAGGCCGTCGTACGTCTTCAGCGGGAAGGAGGTGTTGCTGCGGTTGAAGGAGTTCAGGGAAATTCCGTACGGAGGCAGGCCCTGGTTCAGGTGAATCAGCGCATTGTTGGCGAGAATAAGCACTCCACCGACCGGTTTCGGTACAGGCAGCGCGGCGAATGTATTGAAGGGAAGGTGGTTGATGGACCAGATGTGCGGGTGAACGCGCTGATGGACATCCAGTGACAGTGTCATCATGTGCACTGTGTCCTGTCGCACGGCAATGCGACCAGACCACGTTCTCACGGGTTCGTAGAGAATGAGCAGAGTGGGTTCGTAGTAGTTGTAGAGGAACTGAATGTCGACGATGTTGATGATGTTCGCGCCGTACTGCTCGCTTGGCAGTTCCAGCTTGTACGACGGCAAGACAGGCGACTTTTTGGTACTGGTCGAAAAGTTGTTTGAACTAGAGTTAATAAAGAGAGAACTGTCGGTNCGCTTGGCAGTTCCAGCTTGTACGACGGCAAAACAGGCGACTTTTTGGTACTTGTCGAGAAGTTGTTTGAAGTAGAGTTAATAAAGAGAGAACTGTCGGCATCCTCCATTACGGCATCTTTTCGAAATGGAATGATTATAATGTTTTGACTGTACACTAAAATGGCGGCACAGCGGTTTTCAGGGTCGACNATCCTCCATTACGGCATCTTTTCGAAATGGAATGATTATAATGTTTTGACTGTACACTAAAATGGCGGCACAGCGGTTTTCAGGGTCGACGCGGAGGATGGAGTTTTTGCTGTGAGTGAGAAAGCCGTGCTTCATGTCATCCTCTTCAAAGTAGTGCATCGATATCGTCTTCAGGTCGTGCGTGTTTGGATCATACTCGACGATGGACACTTTGGCCTCGCTGAAGGTGAGCACGATACAGTCGCGGTTCGCGCCGGCAAATGACACCGAGTTGACAGAGAGAATGGTCCCGTGGAGCGTAAAGGTCTGCCGGCACTCCAGTCTGACATTGTCAGGCACGACGACGCCCTCAAAGTTGGCGTACTCAAACTGCTCCTCCCCGCTGAAGCTAGGGTCCCGGACCAGACGGTACACTTTGAGTTGATTACCACCGGCCGTTAGCAGGTTGCGTTCACCGAAGTTGTAAAAGTGGCAGTACACCGAGTGCTCCACTTCGGTGGTTGGGTGTACCGTCTTGCAGATGGCATACATTGCTGCTGGTGATGATGGTGGTGTCTGCCAGGTGACCGGCTCATCAAATGGGGGTGATGGTGATGGCTGAGCAGATGCCGGTGTTCCAAAACTAGTTGCTGGATGTGCTGAACGCAAAACAAACTCGTCGATCTCGCTCTCTTTTCACTAGCACGCTACACACACGCTCTGCAGACTACACTGGTTACCAGGTGGCGGCACTGGAAAGTCGCTGCACTTCACTTCACTTTTATTAAAATTACAGAATACAAATCACAGATCTTTGTGAAACTTCTCAAACCGGTAAATGTCGTACAGTTCACGAAAATGGATCAGCAGCTCAGACAAATTCTGGCCGTACTTGGCGGAAATTGCAATGACCCTCAGGTGAGACAGGCTGTCCTGCTGAAGCTGTCGCGTAAAGTCGGCCAACTTCTCCTCTGCCCCTTCGACGTCCATTTTGTTGACTATCACTGCAGTCGGTCTGGTGGCGAGGTTGTCCTTGTACTGCGTCAGCTCGTTAACCAGCACTTTGAACTGCTGGTAGGGCTCACTGGCGGAAATGTCGACTACGTAGAAGAGGCAGACACACCGTTCAATGTGCCGCAAAAAGCCAATTCCAAGGCCTCTGTTCAGGTGAGCCTCTTCAATTAGCCCGGGCATGTCTGCTATGGCCAGCTGTTCGCCGTCATCGTAGTGAATGATGCCCACTGAAGGCTTTAGCGTGGTAAAAGGGTAGCTGGCTACCTTAGGCTTTGCCCTTGACACGGCGCTGAGAAGCGTCGATTTGCCGGCGTTAGGAAAGCCGACCAGTCCAGCATGGGCAATCATTTTCAACTCCAAAATCAGCTCCTTTTCTTCGCCTTTAGCGCCCATTTCGGCGACTCGAGGATGGCGATTTTGATTGCTGAGAAAGTAGTGGTTGCCCTTTCCACCTGCGCCACCTCTTGCTGCCAGGTACTTGACGCCGTGGTCGTTCATATCGGCTACTAACCGCCCGGAAAAAGCGTCCTTCACCAGAGTTCCGACGGGAACTTTGACAAACAGGTGTTCAGCGTTTGCTCCATTCATGTCCTTGTGTTCGCCTCTCTCTCCAAGAAGTCCCGTGTAGTGTGACTTGACATTGTTCAACGATTTGACGTCTTTGCAGGCTTCAAAGATGATATGTCCGCCGTTGCCGCCATCGCCACCGCTGGGACCAGCCATTGGATTGGACATGAGCGAGAGGAAGCAAATCTTGCCATCTCCACCACTGCCGCCCTTCACCTTTACCCGGCGGTAGTCGACAAACTCACTGAAGCGAACATGCTCTGACTTGTCCTTTTTACTGCGAAGTGGCATCGAATTGGACAGCTTTGCCTGCGGTTTGTCCTCCTCATCGTCTTTGAATGCATAGTTCTCGGATAGTGAAAACTGCCGGAGAGAGTCTTGAATTTCAGCCGTTTCTGACTCGTAACCAGAGCGGCTTTTCGGTGAATGCCTTAGAGCAGTCAGCACAATAGCTCGACTCGTTGCATTGTTGAATGAAGTGTTCTTACGTAAAAGATGAGAGCATAGAGTTTTGATCATGGTTGCTATCATCAGTTTGGGCCATGTGATCGGCGAATCCAAAAAATTAAAAAAAATGTAAACACTGCTGGGAGCGATTGTTAGAGTAGATATAGTTGGCCAGAAAGAGGAGCACAGTAGAAGTTACAGTTGTGCTTCTTTCTCAAAAACCGCTGTCAGCAAGTGCTGATTCATTGGCGTCTGCATCATTTCGCACAAAACTTGCTTTGTTTTGTCTACGAGAAACTTCAACTCATTTGCCGGCGCCGCCTTATCTTCTGCACAACTCCATTCTCCGCAATGCCGACCGAAAACTTGGAAGAGGAGAGTTTGGCAAAGAACCCCAACCTCGAGTTGGCCCAGTGGTTCTTCCTGTTGACCATCGATAACAATGCCGCAATTCGCCAGAAGCTTCTTGATGCTATTCGCGAGAACAACATGGCTCCTTTTTACAAGCACGTACGTATTTGGAAGCGTTTTGAGCTAATGTATCTGAAAGTAAAACTTATTTTCAGGTTTGCGAGACGCTCAAGTGGCCTCTGAATGAGGAAATCTACAACAACATGAAGGCAAAGAATGATGAAAAGCTAAAGGCAATTGATTTCACCATTGAAGATGCGGAGAAAAACTTGGGTGAAATGGAAGTTCGCGAGGCGAATCTCGCCAAAGCTGAGTATTACAGCTTGATTGGCGACAAGGAGAATTCCCTTTCGGCTTTCCGCAAAACCTACGAAAAGACGGTCTCACTAGGACATCGTCTTGATCTTCTATTTCACATTATCCGCATTGGTCTGTTCTATCTCGACCACAAGCTCATCTCTACCAACATTGATAAGGCTCGAGAGCTGATTGAGGAGGGTGGCGACTGGGATCGTCGAAATCGCCTTCGTGTCTACCAGGGCTTTTACTGCATCACCATTCGTGACTTCAGCAAGGCGGCTTCCCTCTTCTTGGACACCATCTCCACTTTCACCTGCTACGAGCTGTGCGACTACAAGACTTTTGTCTCGTACACCGTCATCTGTTCAATGATTTCTCTGCCTCGTGTTGAACTGCGCAAGAGTGTGATCAAGGGAGCAGAGATTCTGGAGGTCCTGCACGGCAGTCCCGAGTTGCACTCGTACTTGTTTTCACTCTACGAATGCAACTACAGCAAATTCTTTGAAATGCTGCGCTGGATTGAGGAGTTCATGAAGCGCGATCGTCTCTTTCAGCCTCACTATCGCTACTACATTCGCGAGATGCGCATCCTCGCCTACAACCAACTGCTGGAGTCGTACCGAAGCCTGGAGCTGAAGTACATGGCCAATGCTTTCGGCGTTACGGTGCCCTTTATTGACCAGGAGCTGGCGCGCTTCATCGCCGCCGGTCGACTGCACTGCAAGATCGATAAGGTGAACGGCATCGTGGAGACGAACCGCCCCGACGCCAAGAACCACCAGTACCAGTCGTGCATCAAGCACGGCGATATGCTCCTCAACCGAATTCAAAAACTCAGCCGTGTCATTAACATCTAAAGATGTCATTCACCTCTTTTCACTTCTTCACGGTGAACACCTTACGCTAGAAGTAATTGTATGATTATTATTAAGAAACACATTGTCAAAACTGTACTTGACAGAATAAATATTTTTAATTAACAAAACAGCAGTATTATTTTCGGTTAACAAATGTTATTGGAAGGGGACAAAAAATGATGGGCAAGAAGAGTAAGTGACCGTGTTTGCTGAGAGACCAGACAGGGGACAGTTCAGCCGGACTGTGCAACTAGTGCGCATTCTGTGTGTGGGTATGCGAGTGTCAGTCTCTCAGCAGAAGTATTAATAGTAGTTGTGCTTCTAAAGAATTGACCAACTCTAAAATCGACTTTCAGTAGTCAGGAGTAGCTTAGAGGATATATAAGATAAAAGTTATGTATCACAGTGGTGATGCAATGACCAGGATGATGATATATGAACAAGCTTTGAAGATGTGCCAGTGCGACGTACGGAGGAGATGGGTGGCACACTACTGCTCTCGACGTCGAATGACCTGTGGGAGTGGACGGTTGTGGTGGTGATGAGAACTGCCGTTTGTCTTCTTCAACGCCTTCAGCGCCCTGTTCACGATGTAGCTATCCTTAAGCCACTGCTTTGCCTGGTCCTGGTCAGACTTCTCCACCACCGCTGTGGCCATGCTTTGGGCGAGCATCGTGTTGATGTCATAGTTAGTTCCGCCTTCAACCAAGGCTGCTTGTCCGTTCAGAGTGAGGCCATTTTCGTCGATGCAGGCGGCTAGGAGCACCTGGTTTTCACCACCGCCTGACAGCGAGTCTGCCTGCTGCTGGAGAAGGCTCAGCTGATCACTGCCGATTATGCCCACAATTTGCCCATTGCTAATGAGATGAGCCGTTTGGCCATTGTTGAGCTCAGAAGTTTCCACCGTTAGCCCGTTTAGAACGGTTTGCGTGCCCGATTCAGTCAAGGCAATGTATTCGCATTCTTGCTCTTGCTGTTGCACAACTTGCTGATGTTGCTGCTGCTGTACTGATTCTTGCTGATGCAGTATCAGCTGTTGTTGTTGTTGCTGCTGCTGTTGTTGCTGTTGTGCAATAGCATCAAATTCAACATTTGTTGCGATCATGTGTCCGGGCACACTGATTGATGGATCGTTTGTTGGTGTGCTGGCACTGGTTTCAAGAGCAATAGCCTGGCAGGCATTTTGTGAGTTGGGGAGCAAGAGGTAGCCGTTGGCTAGCAGAAGGTTAGTTGGCACGAGAACACCGACGTTTGGTATGGTGTTGGTCAACAGCTGGTAGCCAACATCATTGGGCATCAGATTGATATTCTGAGTGGGCAAGAGTACAATTTGAGACATGTTTTGTGCTTGAACTTGGGGTAAGTTGTTTGTTGAAAAGCTAACGGTTTGCTGTGGTGGAGGTGGCTGCTGCTGCTCGGTTACCTGCAGCAAGTTGTAGTTGATTTCGCAATTAGGGTTGTTGTTGTTGTTGTTGTTAGCTGTTGGCCAGATGGATGCCGCTACTGCGCCGTTGTGGTTGACAGGGGCTGAAACAGCGTTGTTCACCTGGCCGGGGATGAGCGGTTGCGCTACAAGGTGATTGGTGCCATCGTTGAGTGCAATCGGAGAGTTAGTACTGAAGATGAACTGCTCGTTGCTAAGCTGATTCGTCATATCAACGCCACCAGAAGAATTGGCTGCAGGACAGTACTGGAGGAGCCACTACTGGAAGACAGTTTCTCACCAAAGGCAGTCATCAGTCACATTGGCGTGCTTGGACACTTGAGCATCGTTTGTCGGAGGACAGGTGCTGACGGTGCTGGTGGTGGATGTGGCGGTCAACCTGAGGGAGAAGACGAAGAAGAAGGAAAAGGAAAAGGTGGGTCAGACTTCAGTGGATCAGTTAGATTAGCTGGTCGGTGAAGACACATCTTGCGAGGCACATTCTGCGACCACATTCCCCCCACTGCACTTCCATGTAGCACAACAATACACGCGCAGAGAGAACAGAGCAGACGGACAGTAGCAGCAGCAGCAGCAGGCCGTACCTCTACACCATAGAGTGGTAGGGGCAGAAGTAGTGGCAGCCCGCTATATAGCCTTCAGATCAGTAGATGGCGAGAGACGGCTATACGAGATGAGGGC